TAGTAGTAGTGTGTGTGTGTGTGTGTGTGTGTGTGTGTGTGTGTGTGTGTGTGTGTGTGTGTGTGTGTGTGTGTGTGTGTGTGTGTGTGTGTGTGTGTGTGTGTGTGTGTGTGTGTGTGTGTGTGTGTGTGTGTGTGTAAACCTTTTATAACTTATTTTGAACGGCTTGGCTGATCAGAACGCGGTTGACGACAATCGAAAGGGTTTAACTCAACTTAGATTTCCTAGAAATTTGAATCAATTCGGCCCAATAGATTTTGAGAAATTCCAAAAAAACCGATAAAAAAATTGGTCGAAATCATATTTTTTTAAAATAACTTTAGAGCTGCTAAATCAATCGTCTTTATAACCTAATCAGCTCTTAACTTTAAAAATGACGTCAAATGCCGTTTGGCAGATTAGAATCGGTTCATTCGTTAGTGAGATATCGTAATCGACAGATTTTGAAAAAAATGTTTTTCGACTTTTTAATAATAACTTCGCGATTTATTAACTAATCGATTTTTCACCTTGTACAACGTATTAAGAGCTTAAAAAACTGCATCGGATGCCGTGTTGAAAATTAAAATCTATCTGTTCAAAAGTTATAGCTTTTCAAAAATTGAAGTGATGATTTTACCAGTAATTTTCAGATTTTTTTATGTAACTTCAACATTTTTTCTCGGATCGTTTAGTGAATAAGAAATAATCTTTTTTTGCTCAAAAAAATGCATCGATTGCTACAAGCCGCATCGGAGTTGGTGGGTTTGTTCGAAAGAATTTTAATTTTTAAAAATTCCACAAAAGTGTTTTTTTTTACAGAACTTCAAAATTTCATTTTAAATCGTTTGGTAGGTAATGAATAATATTTTTGTGCTTGAAAAACTGTGTCGGATGTTATCGCAGTAAAAAATTTTCAAAATAGCATATTTTCAACAACCACAAGATTTTTGTGCTCGAAAAAGAGAGAAGCTATGTTTTTGAGCTCGAAGAGCAGAATATATAATTTCTCGAGTGTTTTGGACTCGTACTACATAGCGGGAAGTTCCAGGGATGGCCTGCAGGGTCAACCGTTTTCCAGATTTTTTTTCTTGTTATTTATGTGCCATGTTAATAAGAAAGTTGTTCTTATCGCTTTCGAGACTCCATGCTCTAAAAATGCGACAACTTACAAAGTAAACCGCGACGTCTGGTATGAACCTGAAGTGGAAGATTACGTTGAGAAAGGTTGGGAAAAATTGGTTGCTACCAACATGACCAGAAACGCAACGGGTTCGCACGGTTCTTACATTCACACAGTGCGAGAAGAAAGCGTGGGCGATAATGACAAACGATATACGATACTGGTTTTATATCAAACAACAGGGATCGATAATTATTTGTACTGCTACATTTTTGTCCAGGCAATGATCGATGACTCCTTCTTTATCGATTGTTATGAAGGGTACCTCAACGTAAGTGTTTGATTGATATAAGACTGCTTTTAGATCTTTATTATTTATTAATTTTCACATATTTTTGCTTCAGTCTCTTGCGAATCCTAAGGATATAGGACAGTTTAATATGTTCAATTACTTGTACAATGCAATTCTCAATAAGTGTTATGAATGAAAATTGACACGATATTTATGTATCTGATTGAATAAAAAATATTTTGCTTCTTGGTTCAAGATAGGCGATAACATTGATTCAAGATGTTACTGACTTGTGTTATGAATGGCTTTTTTTTTTTAGTTATTAATTAATTTACTTATTTCTAAGAAATAATTTGTTTTTGGTATAACAATTAAAGACTATTTAGTTTTTGAAATATACTTTGATGAATTATTTTAAGTTTTTTAAACGATAATATTATTTTGATTGAAAAACTTAAATGTATCGATTGAAGATAATACAGCTTTTAAGCCAAGAAAATCTAAATCAAGACAAGAAATTCTTGAAGCAAAATAATCATTTGTCTTCTAAAATAAATTGTCTGCGGTAGCACCTCCATAAACGGCTTTGTCAAGTGTGTACGAAAAATCACTCCATTTCAGGCTTGAACTACCAAGGAGCATCTATAAAAAAGGATAAGTTTATCAAACAAACGTAAAAAAATAAATCAGATGACTTTTTACATCATACAATACTTACTTCAAATTCTATTAATTCTATTAATTTTCCAGTGATTACTGAACTTTGGTGAGCTCCACGACAGACGTATACGTTCATATCATAATCCGTTCCAGCGTAAAATCCGTCACTACTTTGTGAATCAGATTTAAAATCGATCCAGGATGCTGAAACTATAAAAAATACGAATCGGTTAAAAGTGTACTAGGAATAGAAGGTACTGCATTTGAAAAGAATCTCGATCAAATTTAAGTTCGCAGTTCTGATATTAAAATCGCGAACGTAATAGGTGAATTTAATTGAATTTTGAATTTATGCAAATTAATCAAAAAAGTATTCGAGTTAAATTTTAATTAAAATTGCTTACAAGGTTAGCTTCAAGAGTTGAATTGTAAAATATGCCCACTGAAGCTGGCGCGATGAAATTAGTTTAGTATAATATAAAAGTTGTCACTCGTAAATTTTAATCTAAGTATCTTGTGCTGTACTATGAGAAAGAAATAAAAATAAAAAACACAAAGAAATTTTAATTTCAACGTTACTTTTCATACTTCTATTTCATCAATTCTTACCTCAGTAAATAGTCCAAAGTAAGTATAAGTGCGAATAAATTTCTATATTTTTATTCTTATACTTATTGTTCTCGATGTTTGATTTCATTCTTTTATACACGTACATGCATGCATGCATAACAAGTTAAGATTTATTGTGCAACGACTATAAAACTAATAACAAATAATATATTTTTGAGCATGCAACACGCTATTATTACGAAATGCAAATGAAAAATACAACAGACTACACAGAAAATAATTGGTAAAAAAATAAAACACAATTTTGTGTCGCAATTCAGGATAAATATTTTATTTTTCTTAAACAATCATTGAAATTGATTCTTGTAACTAATGCGAACTTTAAAAGATTTTTTTTTTTAATTAATACTTATAAACGAATTTCTTCGGAAGGACCCAAAATCATTTTTTTATATCTCGAGATCTTATCAAACAGTTAATTATTTTATCTCAAATATTGTTATTACTAATTCATTTATTTATAATATTTCAAATTAAAAATTTGATTTTATTAGTTAATTAATATTTTTTTCGCATTTTGTTTTTTCTATAATTGTAAAATCTTATTTTTAGCAAAAGTCGTATAGAAAAATATACGAAATATTTAATTTTTTTGAACTAATTTTACAGTTCAAAGAGTAACAATTCATCTTCAACCAATAGAATTCATGATTTTCCTGCCACAGTTACACGGACAACTAAATATAAGAATCGAAATTCAAATGACGTTACAGTTTTCGAGAATTGACAACTCAGGAATAATTCAATTATCAAATCATGAACAGTTTCATTATTGTTTGCTGTATTATTGTCGCAGCTTATGCTCAAGCATCACAGTCAAAACAAATTGCTGCATGTCCTAAAGTTCGACCTATGGAAAATTTAAAAATCTCTAAAAAGGTAAACGCAATCTAGTCTCTAACTTCATTTTTCCAGAACTTTTCTTGTAATATAATAATTACATAACTTATACGTTTTTCACGATTACAATTGCACGCGTCATAACGCGAAGCGATTGAGGTAGTGATTTACTCCCAACACGTCAAGGTACTCAAGCATTATCTACTATTTAATACTATAAAAATATTCTTCAGCTTTTTGGATATTGGTATGGATGTCAAGAAAGTGTCACTAGTTTCCCCGAATTGAACAAGTGCATTTTACTGATAATGGAACCTAATGGACCTTTAGGGTGGTCCGTAATATCTTCTGGAGTTTCCAACAAGTACGTATGAGTTTCTTACATTACTATCATACGAAGAGAAAACAATAATTCGAACACAAAAATTTTGGTTTTGGTTTTCATACTTTCACTTACAAATTATGACGTACATTTATAAATTATATCTATGTTTAGAACTGGCATCACAACATCAATGACAGCCACAGTAACAGTTGATGAACAACAGCATGCCATAACTTCTGTGCATTACAACTCGTTGCCCCCAGGCCCGATTACAATTGGTATCACTATTCTAGACACGGATTATGAAAATTACTTGGTTCTTTGGAGTTGCAATGATGATCAACCACAACAGTAAGTTAAAGTAAATAGTTAAACAAGAATTATAATTGTTGCACAAATTTTGTGTTCCTAGAACTCCCGGGCTTTGGATGCTTGCAAGAAACCGTACGTCCTGCAGCAGTTTTAAAGGAAAAGTGAAAAATGTAATGGATGAAATAGGTGTTACCTTGGCTATGAATTCAATCGACCAGATTAATTGTTCTTAGATTGTGATTCGGAACTTTAGGAAAAGTTGGGAGTACCTTATTTAATTAAAGATTTTTTGTTCTGATGTGTAGATTTATTACACTGAAAATAAAATTACTTAAGGGATCATTTTTGGTTCCAGCGCTCGAAAAAAAGCAAATATTCAGTATTTTTTTACACAGAAACTATAATACATATTAATATAACTAAAAATAAACTTTATTCAGCTCAACACATACACTCTTAAACAACACAAAAAATATCTAACTTAATTTTTAACTTCATGCTAAGAAAATCGAAGATTTTCAAAATTCGGGAAGTTATTGGTTTCACCCCCTTTTGCGAAAATTGAGTTTTCATCAGATCTCGACGTTTTAAGATCATAGGAAGCTTTCCTGACTATTCCCGCGATGGTGTCCGTGCGGATGTGTGTGTAGTGTGTGTGTGTGTGTGTGTGTGTGTGTGTGTGTGTGTGTGTGTATAAACTTCTTATAATTTTTGAACGGCTTGACCGATCGGATCGAAATAGGTGGCGATCCAAAGAGTATCATTGCCATTAAATTTCGTGAAAATTTGAATCAATTCGGTTCGCTAGATTTTGAGAAATCTCAAGAATAAAATTTTCAAAAAATCGTTTTTTTGGAATAACTTCTAAACGATTGCACCGATCAATTCCAAAAACTATTTCGCCCTAAAGTTTAAAAAACCACGTCGATTGCCACCAGTCTCGTCAAAATCGGTTGATTCGTTCGAGAGTTATCGAAAACGAAAAATTAAAAAAAAAGTGTTTTTTTGGAATTACTTCGAAATTCCTCGTTCGATCGATTTAAACTTAAAAATCCGTTATTAAGTTTCAAAAACTGCGTTAAATGCCACCAACCTCGTAAAAATCGGTTCATTCATTCAAAAGTTATTGTGGTTTGAAAATTCAAAAAATAGTGTTTTATCAAATACATAATGAAGCTATCTTTTTGAGCTCGGAGAACTCAAAATAACATAAAAATTGTACTTTTGAGCTCGAAGAGCTCAAAAACAAAATAAGTGAAATGTTGAGCGTTTATAGCGGGATCGTTTGAGCATTTAGAGCGTTTATGGTGTTAGCGGGAAGTTGCAGGGATGGCCTTTAGGGTCAACCGTTTTCCTAATTTTTTTTTATATGGATAAACAGCGGGTGAACAAAGTTCCTCCAAAAGTTGGTATGTCGCTGACGTAAATCATAACGGTTCATCTAAAACAATGAAATCAAAATTATATACCTTCAATATATGAGTAATTATCTCAGGAACTACGAAGATTAATATTTATTGATAAAAAATAAAATGGCTGAGATTCAAACAAAAAAAAATTAGAAAAACGGTTCACCCTCAAGGCCATCCCTCCAACTTCCCGCTCATTTTGTACTTAAACGCTTGAAACTACACATTACGTTTTTGAGCTCTTCGAGCTCAAAAATATTATTTTTGCGTCAATTTGAGCTCTTCGAGCTCAAAACTCTAATAGCAGTTTAAAGACACAATTTTTTGAATTTTCAAACGGCAATAACTTTTGAATGAATGAACCGATTTTCACGCGGTTGGCGGCAATCGACGTAGTTTTTGAAGCTCCATAGAAAATTTTCAAGTTTAAATCGATCGAGCCATGAATTTCGAAGTTATTACAAAAAAACACTTTTTTCGATTTTTTTCGACAACGATATCTCACGAACGAATCGATGGGGGTTTTCAAGGTTAAGAGCTGATTAGTTTTTGAGACCGATCGGTTCAGCCAATTCGGAGATATTTGAAAAAAATAAAAAAAAACAACTTTTTTTTTCACTTTTTTTGCATTATCTCGAAATCTACCGGTCCGAATCGTTCAAATTTTCAGGAAATCTAAGTTTAGTGAAGCCCTTTCGAATGACACCAACCGCGATGAAATCGGTCAAGTCGTTCAAAAGTTACAAGAGGTTTACACACACACACACACACACACACACACACACACACACACACAC